CAAACAATCCTAAAATTTGTATGGAATCAGAAAAGACCCTGAATCGCCAAGGAGATGTTGAAAAAGAAAAACAAAGCTGGGGGCATCACGTTGCCCGATTTCAAGCTATATTACAAATCAGTGATCACCAAGACAGCATGGTACTGGCACAAAAACAGACATATAGACCAATGGAACAGAATAGAGAGCCCATATATGGACTCTCAACTCTATGGTCAAATAATCTTTGACAAAGCAGGAAAAAACATGCAATGGATAAAAGATAGTCTCTTCAATAAATGGTGCTGGGAAAATTGGACAGCCACATGCAGAAGAATGAAACTTGACCATTCTCTCACACCATTCAAAGATAAACTCAAAGTGGATGAAAGACCTCAATGTGAGACAGGAATCCATCCAAATCCTAGAGGAGAACATAGGCAGTAACCTCTTTGACATCGCCCACAGCAACTTCTTTCAAGATACATCTCCAAAAGCTAGTGAAACAAAAGAAAAAATGAATTTTTGGGACTTCATCAAGATAAAATCTTCTGCACAGCAAAGGAAACAGTCAACAAAACAAAGAGGCAACCCACAGAATGGGAGAAGATATTTGCAAATGACACTGCAGATACAGGGCTGGCATCCAAAATCTATAAAGAACTTCTCAAACTCAACTCCCAAAAAACAAATAATCAAGTCAAAAAGTGGGCAGAAGAGATGAACAGACACTTCTCTGAAGAAGACATACAAATGGCTAACAGACACATGAAAAAATGTTCATCATCATTAGCCATTAGGGAAATCCAAATCAAAAGCACACTGAGATACCACCTTACACCAGTTAGAATGGCACAAATGGACAGGGAAAGAAACAACAAATGTTGAAGAGGTTGTGGAGAAAGGGGAAACCCTCTTACACTATTGGTGGGAATGCAAGTTGGTACAGCCACTTTGGAAACAGTGTGGAGGTGCCTCAAAAATTTAAAAATAGAGCTACCCTATGACCCAGCAATTGCACTACTGGGTATTTACCCCAAAGACACAGATGTAGTGAAAAGAAGGGCCATATGCACCCCAATGTTCATAGCAGCAATGTCCGCAATAGCCAAACTGTGGAAAGAGCCGAGATGCCCTTCAACAGATGAATGGATAAAGAAGATGTGGTCCATATATACAATGGAATATTACTCAGCCATCAGAAAAGATGAATACCCAACTTTTACATCAACATGGATGGGACTGGAGGAGATTATGCTAAGTGAAATAAGTCAAGCAGAGAAAGTCAATTATCATATGGTTTCACTTATTTGTGGAATGTAAGGAATAGCATGGAGGACATTAGGAGAAGGAAGGGAAAAATGGGCGGGGGGAATTGGAGGGAGAGATGAACCATGAGAGACTATGGACCTGAGAAACAAACAGGGTTTTAGGGGGGAGAGGGGATTGGTTAGCCCGGTGATGGGTATTAAGGAGGGCACCTACTGCCTGGAGCACTGGGTGTTATACGAAAATAATGGATCGTGGATCACCACATCAAAAACTAATGATGTATGGTGACTAACATAACATAATAAAATTTAAAACTATAAAATAAATAAATAAATAAATGTCTATTTCCTTAACCATAAACTAGTAATAAAGATAATTTATCTCTGTGAGTCATGAAGATCACATATACAAGAAGCACTTTGTAAATTGTAAAGTGCTGTCCAAATGTTAGTTATAATTATTAATTACTGACAAGGGGGCCCTACCTTTTCTCTCCATAAAAGTCCTAATTTGAAACTTCCCTCAACCTTTCTCTTTCCTTTCTTCTTTTCCTATGTAGGACGTAGAAGAACAACTCCACTAACCTGTTCGTAGAAAATTCATCTCTGACATCAAGCTTTAAAACTTTGAATGAAAGGAAAGCAGTGTCATAAATGGTGGTTAGATTCTAGTTAGCAATGGAAGGTATGGTTTCATTACGGTTGAACAGGCTTTTATAAGCCAAGCTGTTAATTCATTACAATCAACTGATAAAGGAACTTAAAACACCATCCTAACTGGTGAACACCTGCATTGCACTTTCTTTTTCAAACCACAGCAGAACAGGAGTTCAGAAATGAAGAAGTCAAGGCTGATAGACAAGAGACTGAGTCTCTTAAGGTCTTCCAAAGTCCTATAAAGAACTTGAAACCTTAAATGTCTGGGAATTCTCCCTGAGCCTCAGAAAGAACACTGCTGTGTCCTAAGGAACTCTGTATTCCATATGCTAGAATCTGGCTATGGGCTCAACTCATCCCATTCTGTTGTTCTGAACTCTATCAATAGGGCAGCCCCAGACCACAAAGTCTCCTTAGAATGACATAATTAGACCCATTAGGTATATCACTTCCTTATAACACTAAGTATAAAGACTCCCTATTACTTGACATGGCAAATAAAAAACCCACTATTCTAATCTTTCTATCAATTTCCCCATTTCATTTCTCCTCTACTCTAGATAGACACCCCCACATCTGTGTTCTTCATCCCACAGCACGTGACAGCCTATCCATTTCTGCCTTCTGACTCTATCCAGGCTGTTCTTCCTACATTTTGCCACCAAAACTGATCTTGAAACTTTTCCACCAGGAAGTTTTAAAAAGATGGAATTTTCTACCTGCTGCTCACTGCATATTTAATTACTCTATCTTGTAACATTATATAGGAGTTTGGACTTGTCCATGTATTACTGTGAAAGGTAAGGTACTACTCTGGTGCCAGGTTTTAAGTCTAAGGCCAGAGCTCAAGTCCTAATTTTGCCTTTTGGTTCACTTAATACCCTTGAACCATGCTGAGATATCTACACTTCAGTTTGTTGACTGATAGGTAAAGAGGTGGCACATCAAAGCATAATACAGAGATATTTTACATTTTTTCCCTGTGATGTTTAAGGCAAGGTTCTGACATAAAGCACATGTTTACTAAATATTAATGCCCCACTATCATGCCATTAGGCCAAAGACTATTTTGCCTCCCTTCACCCTCCCCCCACTTTTTTTTTTTTTAAGGCTACAATCTTACACTAGTTTGTTTCTCAAAGAAGAAGAGAGGAGAGTCTGGGCTGCCTCTCCCATCTATCTATCTGCCAGCTTTCCCCAAATATCCCTTTTAAGTAAAGTCAGGTTTAGGTGCTTGGTTAAGTTCAATTTAACATTGTGTGGCAGAGGCAATGTAAGTGTTCATTAAACCCCATTTCCTTTTCTACCAGGCACAAGCATTTTACTTCCCGGCCACCCCTGCAGTTAGGTGGGACAATGTGACTACACACCTGAATTCAGACTAAGGGAATGGGGTGAAAATGATGTACTCCACTTCCAAGGCTGGCCCGTGGTATCTCCAGCAAGTCCACCACGGCTCTCCTCCTTTACCTAAGGCACATAGATTGGATGATTCCAAGGCAACCAGTGATGGTGGAGTCACAAGATAAAAGCCATGTCCTTCCATGATTGCAAGGAACAGACAGCCACCCACTGGCCCCAGTTAACCCACTATACACTGACTTGTATGAAGCATAAGCCTTTATTGTGTTAAACCGCTGAGATACTGGTTTCATTAGCCTACCCTGGTTAACACACCTTGTATTTATCAACAGTGGTAACATAAATGAAAAGAACCCCTAGACTTAGTTCCAGGACCTGAGATACAAATCCTGGCTGTACCACTCCCCCCACAAATCCTATGATTGGATCCTATAGAATATGCTCTATACCCTTTCCCAATTACATGTCTAGCACATTCTCTTCTTTCTCATTATGAAGCCCTCTCCACTCTCCTCTGCCTCAAGACTTCTGTGAGGCATTCTCTGACTTCCCTCCCATACATTTATATTTCTTTGTTCCTAGTGCAGAGTATATTCCTCCATTTTAGCATCTCCTTCATTTGATTGCAAATATTTGTTGACTTGAGTTTCCAAAGACTGAGTCCTTGAATCCACGGTTAATTCCTTTGGGATCTCTGACCGCCAGCATTTAGTTATAGCGCCCGGCAAAAAAATAAATTTTTATTAAAGGAATGATTGTCACCTATGACCTTAAGTGAGTCACTTATCTTTTAAGTCTATAAAATTTTACAGAATTGTTGTGATAATGAAATAATGTGATTTGTAGATTATAAACAGATTTGTGGTTTATTCTGTTTTGTAGTCCCTTCTCATCTTTTTCAGTCAAATTTATCTTAATGCTTCATTCAAGGTAGCTCTGTCAATAGAAAAATAACGCAAGCGACATATATAATTTAATAATTTCAGTAGCCATACTTAAAAAGTGAAAAGAAGTAGGTGGAATTAGTTTTAATAATGTATTTAACCCTATATATGCCAAATACAGCTTATTAGCTCTTCGACATCTTGTCAATTCATCTACATCTGGTGTGCGTGTTACAACACATCTCTGGACTAGCCACACCGCGAGCACTCAGCAGCCACATGGGGCTAGTGGGTCCCGCAACCCGGACAATGCGGCTACAAGGCCTGCTTGAGAGAGCACAGTCTCGGTGAAGTCAACCTGACTATCTCTCAAGCGGAACGAGTGACTCCTCCTCAGTGCTCTCTCAAGCCCCCTATCCTTGCTGTCTTGAAACCTAGAAGTCAGTCAAGCTTTTCGAGGAATTCCGGACTGTTGCCGGAGAATTCGCTCTCACAGCGATTGTCTGGCATATAACGCGCGGTTATTAAATGTCGGGGTAATTAATGATCCCGTGTGCAAAGAACCCCGTGGGAGGCCGAGGGGCCGGGACCGAAAATGGTCAGTCAGGGAGCGGGCGCGGGCGGGCGGCCACCCTAGGCGGGACCCCGATGCCTGGGCCCGCGGCGTCCTCAGGCGGGCGTGCGCCGAGATCCGGGGCTCCGCGGGCCCGGGCGCGGGGGACGTGGGGGCCGCAGCCCGCCCACCCCCTCACCCCCACACCCCCTCCCCCACGTCGCCGCCGCCGCCGCCGCTGCCGCCGAGCCCCGGAAGCGGGCGGGGATTTCCTGTGTCCGCCCCGCCCGCGCCCGCGCCCGCCCGGCCGCCGTCTCCGCCCGTCGCTGGCTCCGCGGCCGCCGGCTCCGACGAAGCGGAGGGCGGAGGGGAGGGGCAGGCGGCGCCCAGGAGGGAGGCTCGGGCCGCAGGCCAAGCCGACCGGGGTGAGTGGGGCCGGGCCGCAGGCAGTCGCGGCTGGAGGGAAGGACGCCAGGCTTCCCGGGGCGGCGGGTGGGGGCCCAGTCACCCATGGGGCGGGGAGGAGGATCGACGCGGCCTCCGGGTCGCTGCCTTAACCGGGGGGTCGGCCCCACTGACATTCTGTGCCCGCCCCTCGCCCTGGCTTCCCGGTCTCCGGCGTCGCTGTCAGGCCCCGCGGGTTCCCGCCGCTGTCACTCGCGCACAGGTTACCCCGTGGCTCCTTTCTCTTGACTTGCTCTTGCCTCCGTTCACGGGAAACCTGTTTTCTGAGCTCACTTCCCCTGCCCCAGCTCTGCCTCTCGGATTCTCTGAAATCTGACCCTCTCCAGGGGCACTGTGACAAGAAGGAGGGGAGAAGCAACCTTACTCCGGAGCAGGCGCCCGTCCCGCTCCTGCCCCACCCGGGGCAGAGGGCAGGGTTCTCTGACAGAGCGCGACTCGTCCCTGTGCCCTTGGGCTGCTCCTCCCCCTACACCCTCCTTTCCCTGTCCAACAGCGCCCGCTGCAAAAACTTCCTTCAGCAGGTGCCCTGACCCTCGGGTATGTGAGGAAAAGTGGGAAGTGGGAGCCCTAGAACCCAGACTCCAGCAGGCCTGGGAACATTCTGGAGCCAGGAGAAACCTGGTTAGGGCTGACACCCTTAACTGCCCAGGTGCTGGCTCTGAGAGAGTGAACATCGGAGGAAATGCAGTGTGAGGATAAGTACCCACCCCCTTGTTGCTGAGATTTTTACCAGCGCTTCCACAGGTTTTCTGTCAGTGGTCTGGAGAGGCTCACCGCTAGCCCAGGAGGCTCTGCAGAAAGAGGCTTCCCATCAAGGGACTGTGCTGGAGAGATGGAGAAATGAGTTTGAGACAGGGGTCCAGGTATTAGCTGTAGGTAAACCCTGAGGGAGGATGTTCAAAGGGAGCTTGAGAAACAAGACCTCCAGTGAAGAGAGGGAATTGGTGCCTTATATGTTAAAAATAAGGCAAATACAGGGGCTGGAATTCAGAAGAGAGAGTTAAAATGGAAGTTTCCCTTTATTGCTTTATTGGGAATTTTCCTTTCTCATGAGAAGTCTCTGAAAAGGAAACCTCCTAAGCTGGGAATCAGTCCAGGATGTTCCCATGAGGCCCTGAGACTTCTTTGGACTTCTGAGATGAAAGGGTAATTTGTTGCCTTCCTGTGCATTGGTCTTAGGGTTGCCACCTACCTCTTTTGTCAAAGACAGTTAGGCAAGAAAATAAACAACTTGACATCTGTCATTACCTGTCCTGGGCTTCTGGGTTCCTGCAAATGTTACTGAATGGATATGAGTGAGCCAGGATAGTTAACCAAGGTTCTGACCTGTTTTTGGAAGCCTTTCACTGGCCCTGACTGCGGAGTACTGAATAATAATCACACACACACACACACACACACACACACACAAATGTTGCCAAGCAGAAAGGACTCTGCAGTCTCATAGACTGTTTCTCTGCCAGAAGTCAGGGAAGCCCTTGTCACAACACATGAGACCTGTTCTGACTCCTAAAATGTCCAGGGAAAAGAAAAGCCCACAACCTGGTCTTGTGCACTACAGGATTATTGTTAAGAATTTTTGCCTGGGTGGCTCAGTTGGTTAAGTGTCTGCCTTGGACTCAAGTCGTGATCCCAGGGTCCTGGGATTGAGCCCCTGCTCAGCTTCTCCCTCTGCCCTTCCCCCTCTTATGCGCACTCTCTCTCTCTTTCTCTCTCTCTCTCTAAAATAAATAAATAAAATCTGTTTAAAAAAAAAAAGAAAGAATATCTTTATCTAACCTGAATCTCTTCTCTTGCAATCAAAAGAATAGATCTATACAGAGACAGAAACCATTTCTCTTTCTTGGTAGCATCATTCATCAGCTTTTTTCCCTAGACAGAAGAAAACTATGTCTATTGTTTTTAACTTTTCCCAATGGCCATATTTCCCATCCCTTTCTCCACTTTTGTTTCTTCTGATGAAACATATTCTGGCTTCTTCATACCCTTCTTTAAAACTGAATATATTTTGCTAATGAGATCTGACTGGTTCTTTCTTATGTCTCAGGTTATTTCCTATGTCTCAACTCACAGGATTGTTAATTCACCCACTGAGGTCATGTTAGCATCAACTATTTCCCCTTTATTCACTCTGGTTCAAACCCTTTGTGTTCTTTTTTTCAATTAGAATCAATTCCTCACTGACCAATTTCTCCTATCTGTTACAGTTGTTTTGGATTTTTATACCTGCTTTCTGAGTTATTGGTCTTTCCACCACATTTACTACCAGTTCTCATTTTCTGCATCAGATTCTCATTTTCTGCATCAGAGTGACAGGTTATGTCTCTTTGTTGAGGCTTAAGTGAGGTGTCATTTGGTTCAGTCTTATAAAGGAGGCGTGTGCTCCTTACACACACACACACACACACACACCTTTGGCTGGGTCTTCTACCTGTAGTAATCATTCTGAACTAATTGATGAGAATGGGATTTGTGGCAGAAAATCTTATATGTGATTACATCCATTTTTGTTGAGTGTAAATCAGTGCACATCCCATCCTACATGTGTCCAGATTGCTTACTTCATTGTATTTGTTGAAATTAAATGAATAGCTTTTGAATTTCCAGGATTGTTTTTGTTTGTTTGCTTGTTTGTTTTAATGAAGTTCTTCCAGCTGTCAGGGATATTCTGTTTCTGCAATGAGGTCCCCAAAATAACTGTTAGTGACTTTGCTGTTTAGCACCTGCTCACTTCTGAGTTCCTCCAAGAAGCTTGGCCCAGGCTCAGTTGATTGGAACACACCAAGCTTTTAAAGTTCATCTGCTATCAAGCTCCTCTTACCCAGTTTCATCTTTTTATCCCTGAGGCTGTTCTCCATAACTCCCTTAGGAATATCACCCCTTTCCATTTTTAATGGGCACATCTTATAATGAATTTGTTCCAGGTCACAATTTGGGTTTGCAGCAAAAATGCTTTCAGAACAGACTGCAGTCCTGGGGACAGGATGGGAGTCAATGAATGTCCAGCTGGATGGAGCAGAGCCTCAGGTGGAAAGGGGAAGCCAAGAAGAGGGGCCATGGAGAACAGCACCAGGGCCACTGGAACACCTATGCTGTGACCTTGAAGAGGAGCCACAGTCCCTTCAGGAGAAGGGTGAGAGCCTACAGGGTGTATGCGTGTTTGAGTACAGTAACCAGTACCTGGACTAGTCCATTCTTCCTGGCTTCCTGGGCCCTGGTCACAGGCATATAAGGAGCTCCTGGATTCTGTAAACCATAAAACTGGGCTTCTCCCATTTCTTGCATGATCACTACCTCCACATGCTGCAAGTGCATGGTTAGTGGTATTGAATGTGGGAGACAAAGGAAGTGACAACAACTCCGATTACTGTTGAGAACACACCCAGTAAGATGCACTTTACTAGGTGAAAATTATATTCAAATAATATAAATTCAAAGCACAGCTAGCCTAGTGGAGATGGCTGACATATAAGCTCTACTAAAAACCACCTAATAGCCTTGTAGAACATTTTGAGTGAATGTCTCTTCCACTATGTGTATGCATTTGAGTTTTACCAATGGGCAAAGATATAGGAAAATATGACCCTTAAGCTCCTCTAACATGGGGCCCAGGCTCTCACTGGGGAAGGTGGATGGTCCATTTCTAGTGGTTCCTCTTTCTCCTCTCCAGCTCAGTCAGCTCCCTGGGTTCCTGCCATTCCCCAGGAGGGGAGCACCGGAGATTGGGAGATGGCAGCTGCACTTCTTGCGGCAGGATCACAGGTGGGCTATCTGCTTCCCTTGGCCTCTCCCAGGGTCTCATCACTGCTGCCTTTCTAGCCTCAGCATCAGCCTGTCGATTTGTTATCTCACATGATCACTAATGGTATCTTCACCTTATAACTGAACAGATTACCTTTCCACAGGGCTTATAATACCCTTGAAAAAATGAGTGGAGGCATGACAAGAAGAGGGGAATTCGTAGAGGTTAAGTTGTTTCTAATGGATCGCTATGCCATCCCTAGAGAGATTTTTTTAAGAACACTTTATTAATGTCCTTTAAGAAAAAAATCTGGAAAGATTAGGAAAAGAGGACCTGAAGGAAGCTTGAAAGAACATAAAGTAGGCAGGACTGGGTTGATAATGGAGAATTTATAGAAAAGAAGAGAAGATAGAAGTAAAGAGGGGCAGAGCCAGAGAGAGAAAATAGGTTTAGATTCAGAAGGCACTGGGAGACCCAGGGAAAGATAATAATAGTAGTAGTAGCTACACTCCCAGAGTGCTTACCATGTTTGCAGTTCTCTGAATGCTTTATATATATTAACCCATGTAACCCTGAGAGAAACCCAATTAGGCCCATTTTACAGATGAGAAAATAGAGTAGGAAGAGATTAAGGCACTTGTGTAAGGACAAACTGCTAATAAGTGGCAGAGCTAGGAGTCATTTGGCTCAAGAATCTGGGCTCCTAACCACTATACTATGCTGTCTCAAAAGATAAGGATATGGCATGATGGGCGCAGGGCAAGAAAGAATGTTTTATCTAAATGATTTTGTGCTGATAGAAAAGGAAAGGTCAAGTGGTGGAAGAAGGGGCAAGTACCCAATTTCTGCAATGAAAAGAATAAGGCAAGTGAAAAAGACTGGGCAGACACCTGTAGTTAAACAGAGGGAGCAGTGAGTTCATGGTGCCTCCAACTTCCCATGGTCCCAGTGGGAAACTCCTCGAGAGACATTATCCTCACTCACTCACTCACTGACCATACTTTTGCCCATCTGCTCATTTATCTTTCATCAAAACTATATGCTTTACCCAGGGACCTCTGGGAAGTTCTTTCTCTAGATGCTGTCATGCCCTCTCCTCTACTACTTCAGCCTTTTACACTGGGATCACATTTTCCTTAAGGAACAATTACTGACAGATGATGCTACATTTTGTTTCAGGGCCTGGTAACCATCAAGGATGTGTCGTTGTGCTTCTCTCAGGAGGAGTGGCGGAGCCTGGACCCTTCTCAGACAGACTTTTATGGAGAATATGTCATGCAGGAAAACTGTGGGATAGTGGTCTCTCTAAGTAAGCATGATCTTCCCTAGCCACTTTTAAAAGATTATTATTCTGGGAGGATGGAGCCATCTGCTCCAGAGTTATTGGATAGTGTCCATCTAGGGTTCTTTCCTTGGCTGGAAATCTGTCTAAGCTTTCACCAGAGAAAGAGCATTAGGACTAATCCAGAGAGAATGGAAATGAGGTGTCATTTCTTAAAAACAAGAGCAAAATAATGCTGAATTGTGGAGAAGAGAACTTTAGGCTCTTCTTGGTTGGGAATTGGGAGGTTCTTACAAAGCAGAGAGAAGGACATTTAAGTGATAGAACTGAGTCCTTGGAAACTCAGCAAGCCATCTAGGTAAGATGGGAGTGGGGGTAGGACAGCTGTGGTAGGGCTAATTAAGTGAAGTTAAGGACAGTTGGTCTGGAAGTATTTGAAATTTGAGTGGAAGGAAACAGACATGCTAGGTAAGAGAATATGATTTTCTAAGAGAAAGAAGAGGGACTTAACAGAAATGGGGACGGGAGAAAGGCCTGTATCTGGCCTTCTTTTATCTTCAGTTCCAAGGAGTAATCTAGGAAACAGCTTTTTTTTGGAAATAGAATTACAGTTGAACTCACTGACATCTCTGTTTTCCTTTCCCATGGGCAGGATTTCCAATTCCCAAACTGGACATGCTTTCTCAACTAGAAGGAGGGGAAGAACAATGGGTTCCTGACCCTCAGGACTTGGAGGAGAGGGACATCCTGAGGGTCACATATACAGGTAAGCACCTAGAATAGACTTTCAGCCACTGCTTTCAACCCTCTTGGAATGTCATTGTTACGTGTCCATCTAATCCCTTCTCTGCTCAGTGAGTTACAGAGTCAAAAAGTTTACAGATCTTTTTCTTCAAAGGCAAGACAGTGTAGCAGAAAGGTTTAGAAGGCAGGCTCTAGAACCAAACTTTGTGGATTTGAATCCAGGCCCACACCTGGGAACCTTGGAAAAGTAACCCCTGTTTGGGTTCCTCATCAGCAAATTATTGTGATATTTCAATATGTTAACAGAGTAGAACAGTACCAGGCACATAATAAGCACTCAGTAAATGTTAGTTGTTGTTGTTACTGTTGATGTTATTGTTCAACCTCCCACCCATTGTGGAGATGCTTTCCGGAGTGTCTCTAGTATTGCTGACAGGTGGTCGCTTAGCCAGGAAGGATTGCAGCACATTTCTTTTCTTTTTTTTTTTTTTTTAAAGATTTTATTTTTTTATTTGACAGAGAGAGAGACATTGAGAGAGGGAACACAAGCAGGGGGAGTGGGAGAGGGAGAAGCAGGCCTCCCGCTGAGCAGGGAGCCCGATGCAGTGCTCTATCCCAGGACCCTGAGATCATGACCTGAGCCGGAGGCAGTCGCTTAACTGACTGAGCCACCCAGGTACTCCAGCACATTTCTTAACTCTCTCCATCTATGCTTAGTCAGGAAGATGGAAGTAATTGTAATAAATAAATAAATAAATAACAACAATAGCATAAACCATTTACTAAGTGCTCACTATGTGCAGGTATTATACTACCTATCTTATAATATCTATCTTATAATTATTCCCATTTTACAGAAGAGGAAATGAAGGCTTACAAAAGTTAAGTGGGAAAGCTGAGATTCAAAATTGGGTAATCTGCCTCCTAAGCTTAGGTTTTTAACTTCTACACCTCTTGCCCTGTCTTGTACAACATTAGAGTCTGTTCTCCCAGCCTTTATGGGGTGAGGTTTAGGCCCTAACAGGAATCAGACAACTTCACATGTGACTTGGGTCCCGGAGTACTCTCTTGTGACTCCCCTCTTGGGGTTGGTATTTTCCCTTCTCCACAGGAGATGGAAGTGAGCACGAGGGTGATACCCCTGAACTAGAAGCAGAACCTCCCCGAATGTTATCTAGTGTGTCTGAAGATACTGTTCTCTGGAACCCAGAACAGGATGAGAGCTGGGATTCCATGCCCAGGGGCTCCAGAGGAATGCTCCTGGGCCCACCTTTTCTTCAGGAAGATAGCTTCTCAAACCTTCTATGTAGCACAGAGATGGATTCCCTATTAAGACCACACACATGCCCCCAATGTGGGAAACAGTTTGTGTGGGGCTCCCACCTTGCCAGGCACCAGCAAACACACACTGGGGAGCGGCCCTACAGCTGCCTCAAGTGTGAAAAGAGCTTCGGGCGAAGACACCACCTGATCCGGCACCAGAAAACCCACCTACATGACAAGCCCAGCAGGTGCTCAGAGTGTGGCAAGAATTTCCGATGCAACTCCCATCTGGCCAGCCACCAGAGAGTGCATGCGGAAGGCAAATCCTGCAAGGGCCAAGAGGTTGGAGAGAGCCCAGGGGCTAGGAAACGGCAGCGTGCCCCACCAGTGCCAAAGTGCCATGTGTGCACTGAGTGTGGGAAGAGTTTTGGTCGACGGCACCACCTGGTGAGACACTGGCTGACCCATACTGGGGAGAAGCCCTTCCAGTGCCCTCGCTGTGAAAAGAGCTTTGGCCGTAAACATCACCTGGACAGACACCTGCTGACCCACCAGGGACAAAGTCCCCGGAGCAGCTGGGACAGAGGGACATCTGTCTTTTGAAATCTGTTTCTGCTGCAGCTGTGGTCACATCTATCAGCAGCTGGTGCTACCAGGAGTCTCTGCCAGAACTGCCCCTCTCCTGCACCCCAGTGGCCAGAATCATAAGCCCTGGCTCCATCCCTCGAAAGATGAGGTTCTAACACTGGCCAGACATTTCTCACCAGTTCTGTGAGATACCACATAAAATGGAGTTCTTTGGGCAAAACTTTTAGGAAACAATGCTTACTGCATGGGCTGATATTCAGCCCTAGCCCATTCTCAAGGGTACCACTTGAGAATCAGCAGTTTATGGCTGAGGTCCATTCTAAGTGGTTGGAGCCTATGCCATACCAGTTAAATATTTGAGTAACACCTTTGTATACTGTAACTATTATATCCTCTCTGTATATAGAGAGAAAGACCATATTAGCATGTTGAAGGCTCTGAGAACTTATTCGTACAGAGAATTGTTAAGCCTCTTTTAATGCAGTGTTTCCTAAATGGATTTGACCTCTGTCCTTTCTATTTCACATCCCACAGAACTGGTGACTTCATGAAACACACTGGTGAACACTGGGTTAGAGAGTAATGAAGAAACAGGAAAGAGATAGTCATCAGGCACCAGAGTCCCCTTTTTTTATTCAAATGAAAGCTGAGGGGCAGACCTCATTCCTGTGTGGGTCCATCACCCTTTCCCTGATCATCCAAATATACATCCACACTTCTTACCCCCACCTGCTGAAAAATAGAAACAAGAACATTTTCACCCTCTTATTCCAACTCCCTTCATCCTCCTCATACACATATTCAGATGAGAGATCATGCTACAGTGCTAAGAGATGGACTTATACCCCCCCAAGGAACCCAGGCCCACATAGAAGAAAAAAATCTTTATCCCCTTGAACAGACCCCTCTCCTCTTGACTGTGTCTTTTTGTGTCTATGTGTATCTGTGTGCAGGGTCTTTGAAGAGAGCATGCAAAGTGCAAACTGTACAAACTAGATTTTCTAGGGGCTGTTTTCTGGGGATGAGGGTAGTAGGGATTGTATGGGATTTTTTGTTTGTTTCAAGATAGGAAGTAAGCTGAGCGATTAAGGGAGCCCTCATGGAAGGGGTTAAGTGATGGGTTAAGCTGTGAGAGTTGAGGTGTAAAGCCTTCCCTGGTATTACTGAGATCAAGACAACTGTGGATATATATGTCTATGTCTAAATCTCTGGGCCACAGTTTCTTTTTGCCTGGGAGAAGAGAGAAAGACACATCCTCAGTGAGGTGAGCTGTTTCTTGTTGATTTCAAGTAAGGTGCATATAGAAGCTTTATGCTGAGTGGGTTTCTTTGTCTTGTTTTAGTGCTGGGAAATTAGGACAGGAATCACAGTGCTTGCAGGTTATTGTCATCTCTCTTATTTGACCTTGATTGCCTCATCAAGGAGACAGTTTTTCTTGAGGATCTCATTCTCCCAGAAACAGAACTTTAGGGGAAATGGCTATGGTTTAGCTTTTCAGCTGATGGGGGGCGGGGGGTGTGCATTGGGTTTACTTCCCAATTCTGGGAAGGTAGCCACACTTAAGACTCTTAACTCCAGGACTTGCATAAGTATTCTAGCATCTGTTGGTTGATGAGTTGGTCATTGTTTTGCTTTATTGATAACGTGTTAATACCAATCTTATAATTTAAAAATTATCTTGTATGTAAGAGCAGTTTGGGGTTAGGAAGAGAGAGGAGCAAAGCAGATGAAAGTGGAATAATTTCTCTTTAATGCTTAGATTCTGGTTTTTCCTTAACACACTTATTTCTCAACCACAATTGGTGGAATTAACCAGAGAGGCAAGAGGAAGTAAGCTGCAACAATCTAGTTTAGTGATTGTCCCATTTGCTTAGGAAAAACTGGGTGAATCACAGCTCCTTAGAATTCTGGACCCAAATGGAGCTGAAAATAGGGTCATTTTGTTGACTGGGCTTCTTAGAGTGGATATGACTTGAGCAACCCAGCCCCCAACTCCGGTCTGCCACTCAGAGCAGCCTTCCTTCTTTGCCTGGAATGCACTTCTCTTGCTTATGTTCCTACAAATAGAGCAAAATGGCCAGCCCTTTGTAAGGTCCTCAGAGCCAGGAGCATTTTAAGATTAGAGATACCCCAGGGTATAAGAGAGTATTGGATTCCAGTGGTAAAACCGGACTGTGCCATTTCTTTTACCCTCTCACTATGCCTCATTCATTAATGCAGATCAGCTCTATGTAAGCAATGATTCAGAACCTGTTTTAGATCACAGACCCTTATGAGACTCTGATAAAAACCAGAAACACCCTTTTGAGAAAAACAGACATTAGCAGTTCACTCTGTTTTATATACACATTTAGCAGGTTCAGAGCCCATCCATGGAATAACTAAACTGGGGTCATTGGGAGTTACCCTGACCCAATATGATCATTTATATATTTGTGTCAAAAGTTACAAGGCAAGGATCACTAAATATTTTAAGAACTAAGATACCAGAGGCCGTAGGGTATAAAGACAGAGTCTAGTCTTTAATGACTAGAAGAGTATTGCTGATATTCTACTCTGTTTTTTTTTTTTTTTAAAGATGACAAGCTGACAAATGGAGCTCCTCACAAACCTTATTTTAAAGACTTGTGGGAGGTGACTCTCTGTACTATCAGATCACACATCTTAATAACCAAATGTTAACCTCCAGCAGTTGATCTGTTTTAGTAATTGTAAGGATAGCAAGTAAAGCCCCCAAAGTGTGGGTGCAGTCGTAGCACCCAAATGAAAGGCATGATGGAGTCTAAGAGCTTTCTGCAGAAAGGACATCCCTTTAGGTCATTTCTGGTATACCACTGTCTTCTCTACCTCGGTCCAATACCACTTCCCTTGGACGAAAAAATAAAATAAGCAGCAGCCATCAGATGGGTGAATAGATTTGAATGATTTTTCCCACAGGGAATCTCCCATCTTTCTCCTAACTGGCTTTGCCACATGTCCACCCTACCCCCTTTAAATAAAAAAAAAACCTGTCTCTGTGTTCTCTCTGGGCAAATGTAAAATGGGGACGTCCATCTTCAGGAACCTGTCACCTTTTCCTTCTGCGGTGCCTCTACCCTGTTCAGGGCCCAAATACCTCCCCTTTGTCCCCCCATCAAAGTATGATCTGCAAAGAATCCCTTCAAAGTGTTAGCTTTTCCCAGAGTTATTTACATTTTTTTTTTTTATTATGTTAGTCACCAGAGTTATTTGCATTTTAAGCCTTAACACTGCTGTCGAAGTGGAAGGCAAAAGTTTTCCCTTGTCAAAGTGATGTTGTGCCTTCAGGGAGCTAAAGGTGTGATAATTTGTGACAAAATCCTCTCCTTTCCTGCACTCCTGCACTCAAACTACTGTTTCCTTATTTCCATCAAGGGCAAGGTGAGTCCTGACTCAGAACCAGAGATGCCAGGAGACATGTTCTTTCCATCTCTGTTCAGATGAGTGCACTGGACGGGGATGAGTGGGGCTGGACAGTAACAGAAAGGTGAAGTCTATTCCCTTAGACCCCTTAGAAATCCTGAGCTGGCAAAATTTCCTTCTATTCCTGGGAGTGCTCTATTAGGTCTTGGGTCTCAAAATGTGGTCTCTGAACCAGCAACATCAACATCACCTGGAAACTTGTTTTAGGAATGCAAATTCTCAGGCTCCACCCCAGACAAACTGAATCAGAAACTCTGAGAGCGGAGCCCAGCAATCAGTCTTCACTTGCCTTCCAGAATATCTGATGTATGCTAAAGTTTGAGAATTACTGGCCAGGAGATTCAAATTCCACTTCAATCAGTAGTACCTCACCCTCTTCAAACAGGGAGAAAGGGGAATCTTGTCAAATTTATTTTCTGCAACCCCTCAAGGCTAGTTTGTCCTCAGTTCTGGTTTCTTTGAGTCCCCACCCTTAAATCAGTGACAGGACTGGGTTAGTCAACAATTTTAGAAACTGTGGTGGGGCCACTACCAAACTGTTGTGACTGATTGGGGCTAGAGCTTCTACAATGGACACTGAGAATTCATGGGTCCAGAAATCTGAAAGGACAAAAAGGAGCAGGCACCTCAAAGAAGGGAAATCCTATGTAAAACTGAAAAACCAACATCGAAGGAAATAGTCTTCCTTTGCTAGTTACCTGGTCCTTCTCCTGGCCTAATAAGTTGGCCTGGAGGCATTCAAGGTGAACATTTAGCTCAGGATAGAGAGTAAGGCCAGCTCTCACAAACCCTTAAAGAACCAAGTTTTCCAACCTCACAATTGCATTGGAGATCAATGAGGTACCATGCAAGGGATTCCTAACCATGATTTGGCCTACCCTATGGGCAAGGGCAACAGAAGCATTGGAGAGCCCCCAGGACACAAGAAAGAACCAAGCTCATTTAGTAATATGTGACACAGCGAGATTTGAACCCAGACTCTGTTTACCAGGTAGAGTTGTAATCGATTAAGCCATGGCACCTATGTCAAAAATACATTTCCTGCTTTGAAGATTCTGTCCAGTTCAGACTACAGGAAGGGACCTGTCTGGCAGGCCCTGGTCCCATTACCCCCTCTAGCTCCTCTCCTAACCAAACCCACGAGGACAGACTGAACTGACCGTTGCAAACCCACCACCCCTGTGGGGCTCTCCCAAGATCAAAAGGCTGGAGTTTGGGGGGAGGTGATCAGCCCCTCTCCCCAAGATGGAGAAACTTGGCCATAGTTTTCTTCAACTCCAGGCCTCAGGGAGGAGTCCCTGCCTCCATTTTCCCAATAAATGGAGCTCCTTGTCCACTTTTCACTCCCACTTCTCTTTTTCTGTTAGTTTGGTTTGGTTTGTTTTTTTGTTTTACCTGGGGAATGCCTCACCTTCCCAAGGGTATTTGTTCTTCTACTCCCTATCCTTCTCTTTCCATCATAGTTAATTCTCTTCAAGCTTCTAGCCAATTCTGTTCCATTAAGAGCCCCCTGTCCCTCTGCCTGTTGTCCAGTTTGTCAGCTTTAAGCCTACAAAGCAGGGTCAATTACTCATACTTCCCACTTTCTTCCCTCAAATCCTTGGCTTGGCTCTAGCAACTCAGCTGCTATCTTACCACTCTGCATCTCTTCCTGTCTCTCTCAACCTTCCTCACACACCCTAACCTGGCCAACAGGTTGTCTATACTGCCAAGTCCAGGCCCTGCACTCCATTCCCTGCAGGCTTTTTCCCTTGATGTAGCTTCCAAAGTGGATTTCTACTTTTTGCTACTTTGATTTGCTTAGTCCCTTCCTGTCTCTTGTGGTTTCTGAGAATCAGTCTCAATTCTAAAGCCATTTTTGGCCAGCTCACTATGTGCCAGGCACTGGCTGTTCCAGGCCTGGGAGGTCAAGTCTTAACACAGTCCCTGTACTCAGCATGTTCCTCAGCTGAGCCCTTCCCTGGCACCACTTTCCTGCCATGCCTCACAATACTGCCACCACGGCACCCTCATACAGGAAGCTTTGGAGGTGTATGCCCACTTGCCATCCAGCCCAACTGCTCTGTGCCTGCCAGATTTCTAGCTGTTGTCTGACTTGGTTCCCTCTGATGGACTGTGAATTTCCCATGGGTTACCCACTGGGGAACTTTGTCTGTATCCTGAGGGTCTCTAATATGTTCCTGTGGTCCCTGTCAGTTGAATAAAGGTCGTATTGGCTATATCACTGATTTCATCTCTCAGTCCTCTCCTCTCCTCTTTCCTCCATTCTCAGCTCTTCTCTGGTGATCAAAAAGCTGCCACAGAGTGGGGGACACCAGATAGCTCTGGGGGGAGTTACACAGCCATGTGTGAGCCCCTTCACTGCCCCTCCCCAAAACATAAACCTTAAGATGCCACAAGTTAGGCCTCCCCATTTCCCTCTTGGTGTCCTGGCTTCCAGATGTCCCTCCCCAGTTAGCTGGTCTTAACCCAACCTGGAGATGAGGGAAGCAGAGTACTGAGCAGGACTAGGCCTAGGGTAAGGCAGGTAAGGGCCTAGGGAGCAAATTTAAGGAGGTCCTCCATATTAGGGTCATTCAAGTGCTGACCCTGCTCTTGGGAGCCCCTTAAAGTGGTAAGCCGAGTCTAGAGACTGAGGTGATGGTGGTGACTGTGGCTTGACCCCCTAGGCAAATTTACAATAATTGGCGATGTGAGGGGAGCTAGAGGAGGCATGCACAGATGGGGTTAGGCAGGAGCTGGGTCCACCAGACATACTCACCTTTGTGGGTAAAGAGGATGGGCATATAGCAGAGGGTATCAAGAGAATAAGGTAAGAGAAAAAAAACAGTGTGGGAGAAAACATGGGAAGCTGGCATGGAAATTGCCAGCCTCTGACCCACTGACACAGCCTCCCACCTGTGGAGCTTCCTGGAGTGTGGGAAAGAGGGGAAGGAACCCCTCCTCGGGCCTTGAGTGCAGCCCAAAGGCTTTGCTCTTCCTCCATGGGAGGTGCCTTAATGGAGCTTCAGGCCTACTGTTTAGGGGATGATCCACCTCTACAGCTCCCTGAGCACCAGCCAGGCTGTTCTGACACCTACCTCCATGCTTCGTATTTCCCTGTTTTCTTGTGTTCACTCTTACTTCCCCCAGTCACCTGGAGTAATACTCTTGACAAGTCTGGTCTTTCTCCTAACCAAAAAGGGGGAGGAGTAACACAGCTGTGATTGTTCACTGAGGCCTCTGTTCTTGCCGTTTATTTTTATTTTTTTCTTTAAATTCAATTAATTAACAGCGTATTATTAGTTTCAAAGGTAGAGTTCAGTTATTCATCAGTTGCATATAACACCCAGTGCTCATTACATCACGTACCCTCCTTAATGTCCATCACCCAGTTACCCCATCCCCTCACCCCCGTCCCCTCCAGCAACCCTCAGTTTGTTTCCTATGATTAAGAGTCTCTTATGGTTTGTCTCCCTGATTTCATCGTTTTATGTTTTCCTCTCTTCCCCTATGATTCTCTGTTTGTTTCTTAAATTCCACATATGAGGGAGATCATAGGACAAGTGTCTTTCTCTGACTTATTTCCCTTCACATAATACTCTCTAGTTCATCCACATCATTGCAAATGGCAAGATTTCATTTTTTGATGGCTGAGTAGTATTCCATTGTATATATACCACATCTTTATCCATTCATCTGTCGATGGAAATCTGGGCTCTTTCCATAGTTTGGCTATTGTGGACATTGCTGCTATAAACATTGGGGTGCAGGTGCCCCTTCAGATCACTACATTTGTATCTTTGGGGTAAATACCCAGTAGTGTAATTGCTGGGTCGTACGGTGGCTCTATTTTCAACTTCTTGAGGAACCTCCATACTGTTTTCCAGAGTGGCTGCACCAGCTTGCATTCCCACCACCCCTGTTCTCTCTGCCATCTCCAGTGGTGTCTATTGAAATCCTGACTTCCTCTCCTTGCTCCCTCCTATCAGTGCCTTTCTCAGCCCCATCCAGTGCTTCATGCTGACACCCCCTCAGTCTTCAGTTCCTCTCTTCTAAATCCTTTGGCTTTTTCTCTTTTTAAAGTTCCCTTTCTGACATGGTGCCCCTATATTTATTTCCCAGAATGTCTTCCTGTCCTTGCTAGGCATTTAGGTTGTGGCTGGAGTGATCTCCAGCCCAACCTCATAGACTTGTCATCACAGAGCTCCCCAGAGGAGGGGGGACAGCTACTGCTTGGAGACCACTGACAAATGGAGATGTTTCCATGCTCTGAAAATACACCCCGCAATGTGTTTGAGAACACCCTCCCCACAAGAAACCTCAAACTTTTAAAACAATGTAGAAATGAGTTCTAACTCCTGCCCTTTACCTACATAGAAAGGATGTCTCAGAGAGTTACTGAGTGGATGGTGAGGCCCCCTTTGGCATGGGTAACTGTAGACAAGAGAGCACTGGAATCCATAGTTAAAAGCCAATTTCTAAAGTGCACATTTTCCAAACATTAGCTTTTTCACTTAAGATCTAAGAGACTGAGGTGAAAATGAAATGAAATAATGCATGCAAAAGTACAAACCACCTTATAAATGAAAAAGCTGTAACTGACAATTGTGTGGGATTTTTTACCTTATTTTTGAACAAGTTACAATGTACATGTTCTGAAAATACGAAAAAAGAGAGTAAGAGAGTCTCATTTCTATGTATCCTCTACAATTCCCATCATCTTCCCCTCCCAGTAGAGAACCAGTTAGTTTTTTTTGTGTGTATCTTTCCAGAATTTTATACAAAGAGGTATATTTTCCTTCATTTTACACAAAAGGTAGTATGGTATGCTTAATGACCTGAATTGTTTTTTCACCTACTATATCTTTGGGTGCTTGTCATAATAATACATTGAGAATCTCCTCCTTTTTTACAGCTGCGTGCAGTTTCACTGTATGGAAGCTTCAGTTTAATCAGTCCCCTAGTAACATTTAGATTATTTACTTTTCTGTTTTGTTACTGCAGTGCTGCAGTGAATACCTTGGACATAAGTCTTTTCACAAATGCATTTACATCTAAAAGATAACGTGGTTCTGCTGGATCAAAGGTCCTTTGCATTTGTAATTATGAAAGACAGATTCCTTCCATTTACATGCTCACTAGCATTGTGTGTGAGTGCCTGATCTCCCACAGCCTCACCAATGGAGTAGGTTCTCAAAACCTTTGAATTGATTAAAAAAATATTATCTTATTGTTTTAATATGCATCTCCCTTGTGAGTAAAACTGTACCTTTTTCTTTCTTTTTTATTTTTTTAAAGATTGTATTTATTTGACAGAGAGAGACACAGTGAGAGAAGGAACACAAGCAGGGGGAATGGGAGAGGGAGAAGCAGGCTTCCCGCGGAGCAGAGAGCCCGATGTGGGGCTCGATGCTGGGCTCGATCCCAGGACCCTGGGACCATGACCTGAGCCGAAGGCAGACGCTTAACGACTGAGCCACCCAGGCGCCCCAAAATTGTACCTTTTTCTTGTTTTTAAAGGCCATTTGTATTTCTGTTAACTGTTTTATCAACAATCATTGAATATCTGATGCCAGAGAGCATCTAAACTTTGTTACCACTCTAAAGTCCAACAATTTTCTGATCATCATCACACGAGGCAGTTGAGATTAAAGGAAAGCAAAGAATTGAGGTCAGGGATGTTCCATTTGCTCTGACTAAAGTTAAAAACCCAAATATGCCACTAGAATGTGAGCAGTGAAAAGTGGGGATTATGCTTTATCCATCTTCATTCAGCAAAGTGCCCAGAATTTTGCAGGCATTTAGTCATTAGTGAATACTTGGGATGAGATGAACTATTCTTGGAAATTCCTTTCACAGAAGTACCCAGCTAGCATTATGACCTAGATAATGTGGATAGCTTGCCAATGAGTTAAAATCATTTCTTGTATTTCATTGGAGAATAGCCATCCTAAAATTTACCAATGAAAAATAATCTGAAATGACCAGTTAGCTATTAAGTGTCAGGACACTGCCAAATTTACTGACTGAATGGTTGGAAGTTTGCTTAAATGAAGAAATCATCACAATACATATAGAACTGTGATGTTTCTTAGGAAATCTAGAAAAATTTTTGCCAGTGTCCTTCCCATCCCATCTTAGGAGAAAAGGCTTCTAGTTCTGGGCCATCTGATTGTTTAGGTAAAAAGCTCCCAGGACTATAAAGAGGCAATACATCTGGCTATCATAAAGACATCTGATTAACTTTGTTCTAAGTGTGCTCAATGGACAGTGTTTCCCACTACCTTTTACCAGATGGCTCCCTATTCTCTTATTCTGTTTGCTTCATTCTGCTACTCACAGACAATTCAAGTGCACAGTGAACCTAATTACAGCAGGGGGGGGGTTCAAAGTTCAGATCATCTATAGATGAGATGCACAACAAGCATTTTGCTAGTAGCTCTGCATAGGTTTAAAGCAGTGATTCTCATTTAAGGGTGTGAGAGGGTGAATATTAGTATCACTTAAGCTTTCTTTCCTACCCCTCCCTCCCTTCCTTTCTGTGTGTGTGTAAATACACATACCCTGTTCCCCCTTGTAGAAGATATCAGACTCTTGGGAAAAGCTTGGTCGGGTACACTGAAAAAGCTCCCCAGGTTGTTCTAAATCATTCTCACCTCCCACCGTTACTCTCACCTCTTTACAAGAATGAAAAGCACCTTCCCAGTGCTTCCCTTTTCCCTACCCCTTTGGCTTCAGCTGTAAACAGCAAGTCATTTCCCTGAACTGGCTACTCTGATGTTTTTACTTCCCTAGGAACCATTTCTGTGTCCTATTATGACCTATAGCATGAGAACTACTCCCATGCTGTTCTTAATCTCTGCATTCAGAACTAAAAAAAAAAAAAAAAAAAAATCATACATTTGCTCTATATTTGGTATATGGTGCTCAATACATGTTGTTTTTTAAGAAAAGCAAAAGACCTAGCTATTCATTAGTTAGCCTTCCCATCTCCTTATATTTCTGATATGTAATCTATAAATCTTAATAATTTCCTCTCTAGGAGTTAGTATTTTCCCAGTTGAAAATTCCCTCACTGCATTTTGTCAAACAAAGCCTAATGTCATGATATTTTAAGTCCTTATTTTACTAACACTTAAAACCACCTAAAAGAATCCTAGCCCTATTCCAACCTTTTTTTTTTACAGAGAAGGAAAACAAGACTATAAACGGTTAAGTAACAACTCAGCCAAGGTCAGAGTAGCAGAACTTTGACTAGAATCCTGGTCTCATTAAGTACTGATCCGGTAGAGTTTTCTGCTATAGCACATTATCACATCATCACAAACTATTTATACTCTTATTTAACTCTTAGTAATGCGCACCTACCCTGTGCCAAGGCCTGTTCTAGATGCTTTCACACACTCTCATTTAACGGAAGACTGACATAATAAGAAAGTTTTATAGTTAAAATACTATTATCAAGTCAGGCAAAAACTATAGACCCATTACAATCAACTTTGGGAGAAGGGCCTTTTTCCTAAAAGGAATTTCAGTTAAGAATACTTTGGATCAGTGGGACCACTCAACTTAAAGTTGTCTACTCTTCTCTTGCCGGGACGATGCCCCCCACTTCTCTCTTTATAAGCCCTTCTCCCCAAAACTCAATATGGATTTGATAGGGTGTCTAACGTTAATTCAACACTTCTGTCTAATCCCCCCAAGTTGCTGCTTTTCTTCTACCTGTTTTCTTTTTTCCTTCTGAAAGGCATTGTCCTGCGGCCTGAAGCAGGAACAGAATCTCGACATCTTTTTGTCTCTTCACCCCATATGTCCCTGTTGTATGTCTCCCCTCAACACCCACGCGTACCCATGTGCGGCAAAGAGGAAACGGACACAATGTAGTGGAGAGGTCTTGTATATAGTTTTGTCCACTTCAGTGTGAGAGCTGCTCTCATTAGAGCCTATGGGGAAAGGCATCTGTGCCTGGAGGAAGGGAAATTGCTCCCACACTACGAATACCCGGCTGCATTGTGAAGACTTTCGGATTTAGTGGAAGTCTTTGTGCGAGCAGCCCTTAGGTCATGAGTCTTCCCCTGACTGCTAGAACTTCGGTCAGTTTTAACCAAGGCTGTCTTCTGGATGGTGCGTTTTACCGACTTCACCGGGTCCTGCTTCTTCTCTTTCCGGGGCTTCGGGCCTGGCCTCTTCTTCTCCTCTCGGGTCCTAGGCCTGATGTCTTCCTTCATGGTCCGTCCTCTCCCCTCGTCCATCCCCTTGGCCCTCACTTCCTCCCTGGCTCTGGAACGCACCGAGTCCTTGGCTCTTGGCCTTATCTTCCGCCCCCTTGTGTTTACTTTCGTGCTGCGTCTCCAGAGTTCCCTGGCCTTCTTGGCTGCCCCGCGACGCGCGCAGCGCCGCCGCCGTGGGCTCCGCGGCCCGGGAAGGGTCCTCCTCGAAGAGCGCGCGCCCTCCTCCAACCTCAGGCGTCCTGGCCTTCTCTTCGGCTTCGGGATCTTCCAGACCCTGAAGGAGCCAGAGGCATCGCTGCCGCTGACCCGGAGAAGCGTGCCCTTAACCTCAGACCAGGGTGCATCGCCCGAGTGCCGGCAGCACTTACGGCGCACTACGTAGCCAGCATTTCCAAACTCCTTCTTGAGGGCAGCCAGAGTCAGCCTTTTGTGCGTGGTGATGGCTCGGAGCAACAGCTGGGACACTTTGAGCACGGAGCGCAGGCCCCGCCTCGGCACGGCCGTGAGGGTTTTCTCCGGGGCCTGCTGGGTTTTAATTTCAGTGCCTTTGGATTCACCAGTGGGCCCAGCCACCTCAGCCATGGCCCCGCTCCCGCCTCTGCGGGGCCACTGCTTTTGGGCCACCCCCACCAAGGCGGGAGCTTAAGCTGAGGCTGGCTGGACCACGTCACAATGGCACGCCCGGCCTAGACTTTCAGGTCCTAGTTGGCGAGCTGCCAGATCCCACCCAGGTAGGTGGTCCAATCAGACTCCACTTCCTTCTAGGTCTAAACCAATCCAGATCTTGGCGCCTGTACACTCCTAAGAATCACCTTTATAATCTCCAGGGTTTGTTCCCTGCCCTTTATAATGCTGCCACTTCTCATTGACCTGGATCTCAACCAATTTCTGAAGTTCACTATTTTTCTGTGGTCCTGAACACCCATCTACTCACATTTCCCTAAGGTGAAAGAAGCTGCTCCCAACTATCTAAAACAGGTAATACAATGCCTTTAAAAAGTAAATGTGGTAGTCTATCAAACAAAACCCGATCTAGAAACTCCCGCCTTTAGGTCCCACCACCTAGAGATCGACAGTCATGTCTCCTTGACTCTCCACATGGGGGATTCTGTGCAAGAATATGAAGGAAAGAGGGAATCACTGTGGTCCCTCTACCCTAACCAATGATTCTCACACCTGGGTAATTCTGATGCCTCATTCAGTTGGATCAAAACAATCCAGTTTCCAAATAGACCAAGAACTCTGGTCTAATCATTATTCTTTCACCAGACTTTGCTTTTCTATCTCTTGTCCCTCTTCTTGGATTGCTCACCCTCTTTCTCTGTCCAGATATATTCTGCTCATCTTTCAGAATCCTGCTGAATCCTTCCCTCACTGAAGCCCCCTCACTCTTTCAAATGATTTCTCTCCTCTTAATTACCACATTAAACTTTTGCAATCCTATACTGCATTTTCTTTATTTTAAACTAATCTGGTACTAGAGAGTACAATACAGCACAATAGTTTTAAAAAGAAAACAGCCTGGACTTAGAGCTGAAAGACATGGACACATACCCCACCCCCCCAACTCTTTAACAGCCATATGGCATTGATAAATCCCTCCATATCTTTGGATCTGACTTCTTTATTTTTAAAGGGGGGGGCTAATAGTCCCTTCCTACCAACATCACAGAATTATTGGAGAGGTTCAGAAGAGGTGATGGTAGATGACAAAGGACTACCCAAATATAAGGCATAAAATTAATTTTACTCTGAATGTTTATGCCTTTCCAACTAAATAAAAAGTTTCCTGAGAGTCAAGTAGCCTTTGAATTTCTATGGCCCCTGCTGCACCTAACACTATTCTTCCTTATACACAGAGCAGGCATTTAATTGAGTCTGTGTAAGCTTCTCTCTGGTGAGGAGGATTTCTCTGGATTCAAAGGAAATTCCCAGGAAATCAGGAGAAAGGAGTGGGATAAATCTCAAAGGGTTGAAAATGAAGGGGACCAAGGAAGCTAGTTACTCAAGGACTTCTTATTTTGGACACAACTTAGTTGGGAATTATTCAAAGAATACTTCAAATTGCAAAAGCATATCATACTTCTCTAAAGGACATTCACATATACTCAGCAGTCACAGGCTGGACTGTGACATAGTTTCTGCCAGGAATAAAAGTGCCAGGAAGTAGCTTAGACCAGTGCTTCTTAAACTTTAATGTGTACTTCATAAAGTACTGATTCCAGTACATTAGGTCTGGGATGGGTTTTACCTTTCCCACAAGGTTCTAGGTAGTTCCACTCAGTTTTACCTTTCCAACAAGGTTCTAGGTAGTTCCACTCAGTTAAAACACAACTGTTGGGGAGTGGGGAGTAGACAATGAGAAAGGGAGTGGCAGGAGATCAGACTGGAAAGGTAGGTTAGGGCCAAGGTATGAAGGACACATAACATAATGACACAGCTGTAAGTAGTCACACAGCAGTAAGAGGTAGAGTGTGGATTCATACGTAAGTCTACTTAATTCTAAGGCCTGAGTTGTTAATTACTGAGCTAGTTTTCCTTTTCTCCAAGGTTGACCCTCTCCACACCTTTATGTGTCTCCACTACAGAGCAAGAGGAAGTTTATCTCCACACTCACAGCTCAGAATCAGAAGGATCTACAAGCACTCACTGTACCTTCTCCCAGTCTTTAAATTAGAGCAGGATACTGTGGATCTCCAAGAACAGGAGACTAACACATCAGCACAGGGACAGTGCACCAATGAAGAGCTGCCAGACTGAGAGGCAGAACCACATGGAGCAGGCTTTCTCTCATTTGTGTAGTCTCTTGGTCTGGCTATACTTCCTGGTTGCATAGGCCACTGGCCGCAGGATGGGACAACCATCAGAGAAAAAAGTCAAAACTGTCTGCTTTGAGAATAAGAGGAGAGTAAGTGAAGTCTGACCTTCATATCAACTGACTCCAGGTAAAGATAGGTTGGCTGCACACAATGGTAACATCATGAAAGAAAGACAAAAACCAAATCAGGGGCACTTGGGTGGCTCAGTCGGTTAAGCAACCAACTCTTGATTTTGGCTCAGGTTATGACCTCACAGTTGTAAGATTGAGCCCCACATCGAGCCCCACGTCAGGCTCCGTGCTGGGTGTGGAGTGGAGCAGCTTAAGATTCTTTCTCTCCCTCTCCCTCTGCCCCTCCTCTGGATCTCTTAAAAAAAAAGAACCAAATCAAACCATGTTTATTGATACCACTGTGATGAGAAAAGAGGCCAATTAGAAACCTTTGGGAAAGGCTGAAATCAAAGGACAAGAATTATATGAAAAAAACCCCACACCAAACAAAACAAAACATTTTCATTTATACATAACCATTCATTTCTATATAGATTTCTGTATAAATATACTGTAAGTAATAGGGGAATAACAAAAAATGAGAGGCAGGAAACCAATGTCCCACTACCACTCAGCTGGCTCAGAGGACAAGAAAGCCAGCTAGCTGACAAACTTTCTGCTGCACCAATCCCTTGGAGTTATTTTGCTCCTCTTTGGAATAAATCTACTTGCCAGCCCTCTTCTTCTGATATCTCAAAAGAAAAAGACACTTCAGAAAAAACAGTTTCTTGAGGAAAAGAGTCAGTACAAACAAGTGTCATACCTCTAATCAGGAGACACCAACTCCAGCTCCAGAAAAACAAGACTGAACCATCCCTTCCAATTTTAATCATCTATGATTATAAACCAGAAGTTACCACCTAGCGCCACCCTGTTATGAGAAAGATCAGTAGCTCTTAATTTCTGGAAGGCTTGGGGTTGGCTGGTGGTGAAGAAAAAGGATACTTGGGAATAATGTTTAGCCTAAATCTTTCTGCTTCAAGTTCCAGAGCAAGATCTATTGTTTTTTGTTGATATCAAGATTCTTCTATGGTGGTTGTGACTGAGGACTCCAGAGTAACTTGGTTGACTTAGGCATAGCAACCTTTAATTACTATACAAAATTCTAAGAACGTCAGAGGTTTTATTAATCTTACTCCCTCACATAGAGTTATTCAGCTCTAACTTCATTAAGAAAAACTCCATACAAGAGTACAGCAAAATTTAGTAGCATTCTCTGATTTAACCCCAATCTATACCTCACTGCTCCTCCTTGATCCACAGTCCTGGGGCCCCAAGGTTCTAGGTCTTGCTTACTCAATTATCTTGCATTGATTCAGTTTCTCTCTCCCAAAACCAAATAATATAAACCTGTTCAACAATCTATTACAACTCCCCAACTTAACCTTCAACTGCTAGTTGTTTTTCCCCAAACGACTCTTTTCCTCTCCTGAACCACTTTGTGCCTTCCACTTTAATGCAAATAACCCCACAACAGTCATTTCAGCAAATAAACCCACCAGTCGACTCATGGCTTTTGGGAGAACTAAAGTAGTTCACATGTGAAAATAAAAATATTAAGATTCCATAAAAGCATGGAGACAGACTAGTAATTGGGCATTCATCCTTCTAATCCTCAGCACAATTGTCCAGAAGTGAATCTAGAGATTATAGAGCCAGGTGATCTTATTAGAGGACCAGGAAAATTTCTCAGCAATTATCCCAAAAATATGAAGATCTGGTCTCCCTGACTCCTCCCAAGAAGCTCTAAACACCCAGTGTAACACACTCCTCCCCACAAATATAAAATCTATACTCATCCCTCCAAAAATGACATGAGAGAAATAAGGGCTTTGGTATTAGCAAAATCCTACCCAAGTACTTTTTTTCACCCAAACAAAGGAGTCTATATAAATTAAATCTCTCATAAATCAAGTATTATTAATAGTTATATCTTTCCATGAGCCCATAATGTGGGACCTCCAAGAACCATTCTGCTACAATCAGTTAAATCTCAAAACCAAAAACCCATTTCTCTGAGGATTTTTACTTTCAATATGAGGCTCAGGGCATCCCAGGACACAGACAAGCTGCAGTCCCACAATAACGCTACATTCTGGACAACATTCAATTCTGTTATAGTAACTCCCAGCCACCCATGCCCTTGTCAATTCCCAGAATACTATACAAATGAAGCCAAAGCAGAAAAACACACACAAAAATGGCAGGGTAGAAATCATTTACCATATATATGTAACTCTTGGAATCAGAGAACTGAAATATCCCAGACCTACAACCCACTACAGAGAAGCTTATTTCTAGCCTAATCTCTACAGATCTAAAATTCCAGAAAATCCAAATTCACTAATTAAAAATTGCTTTCCTCCAAATTAAGTGGTATAAATAAATGCCCATGCTCAGGAATGTAACCAAGAGTAAGCTTTATTTGCATTCTCAATTCACAATACACATTCTGGAATTATACTGCATAACTTTCCTCATTTTTTCCTTCAAAACTGTGGTTCTAAATATTTCATTTCAAAAAACACATCTCCATTTCCTGTTTAAAAATCACATCTGAGGGGCGCCTGGGTGGCTCAGTCGTTAAGCGTCTGCCTTCGGCTCAGGTCATGATCCCAGGATCCTGGGATCGAGCCCCGCATCGGGCTCCCTGCTCCGCGGGAAGCCTGCTTCTCCTTCTCCCACTCCCCTGCTTGTGTTCCCTCTCTCGCTGTGTCTCTCTCTGTCAAATAAATAAAATCTTAAAAAAATAAAAAATAAAAATAAAAATCACATCTGATTTTCTATTTTAATCCTACTCTTCTTCCCTTGGCTTTTTCTCAGCCTTTGATCCATCTAGGGAAGAAGAGCTACTACTTATTTATTGAAGGCCTATGGATCAGGTATTGTGTATAAATTATCACTAATTCTTTCAGCAACACTGAAAAGTGGATAATATTATTTACATTTACAGATGAGAAGGTAAATGGTGTACTGAAGGAAAAGTTTGGAATGAGAATTCTCTATATCTCCCAGGTAACTCAAAGATTCCTATTTTTCATCTTCCACCTAGAGAAAAGAAATTGCTATACCACCTCTTCTATCATTTCACTAATCAAAGCTTTGAGCAAGAAATTCAGATTCTCCTTCCTCACTGTAATTTCTACCATACTAGTTATGCCAGTTACCAATTTATTGCTTTTGTTACCTGAATGTGAAAATGGATCTGGGCCTTTTAAATATTTTTCCTTTTTCAACTGACATGATGTTAAGCTTTGTAGTAAAGGGTACTGGAAAGACTGCAGGAGGAGAGGGTTTTCCCTTCTAGTTCTGGTTCTCCGGTCTGTCCTTTACCAAAGTTGCTAGAGCAGAGGTTGGAAAACCGTGGCCCATGGGCCAAAACCAGCCTGCTGCCTATTTTTGTGTGGCTTGTAGGCACAACTCAGGTGGACTAGCACTTTGAGCTGCAGAGAACAAGACATAATGTCCCCACCTCTATTTCATGCTCCACTCCCAACATATGCCTCACTGGCCTGGGCCATATCTCACCACTCTCCAGGACCTATGCTGGCTACCAAATATACAGTCCCCAATTCTCCACTGGTGGCACTGAAGAACAAACTTATATCTTTACAATGAATTCCAATCTGGGACACCTGGCTGGCTCAGTTGGTAGAGGATGTGACTTTTTTTTTTTTTTTGAGACAGAGAGCATGTGAATGCACAGTGGGGGATAGGGCAGAGGGAGAAGGAGAGAGAAAATCTTAAGCAGGCTCCACACCCAGCCACATGGAGCCTGATGTGGAGCTCAATCTCATGACCCTGAGAGCAAGACCTGAGCCAAAATCAAGAGTCAGATGCTTAACCAACTGAGCCACCCAGGCTCCCTGAGCATGTGACACACTTGATTGTGAGTTCAAGCCCCACACTGGGCGTAGAGCTTACTTAAAAATAAATAAATAAATCATAAAACATAAAACATAAATAAATAAATAAATAAATAAATAAATAAATAAATAAATAAATAAATAAATAAAATTCCAATCCTTAAAATCACTTTATATTTTTAAAAAAAGATTGGAGCTTTTATCTATTTGTCATTAGACCTAACTTTCAACAAGTTAGGAGTAATTTTTAATGAGAAAAATGAATAGGATACAATAGTTAATAACTTGAAATTTTTTAAACACAATACTCATGTTTCACCAAATACTAAAATTAAGAGGGATCAAAGAGTTAAACATAGAAAATGAAAGCAGGGAAAAGTATATGTATTTATTGGATTTTAGGAAGAAGAAAGATTTTCTAAGCATAAAATTAATGGAAGAAATCACAGAGGAAATTACTGACATGATTATGTAAAAACCATAAAATTCTGTACATTAAAAAATTAAAACAAGAGTAAAAAAGCAAACAGGAAAAAAATCTGCCAAAAAAAGTCTATGAGTTATTCCAAAATTAAGAGTAAACCCCCAAATTAAGCAAAGTAGAAATGAAAATAATGGTTAATATGTGAAAAATAAGCTCTTCCTTTGACTATAACAAAACTACAAAATAAGTAATAATTTTTGACCTATCAAAGTAACAAATTATTTTTTTAATAAAAACATAGAGATAAGAGACTTCTATTTTTTTAAAGATTTTTATTTATTTATTTGACACATATTGAGAGAGAGAGCACAAGCAGAGGGTAGTGGTAGAGGGAGACGGAGAAACAGGCTCCCTGCTGAGCAAGGATCCCGATGTGGGCTCAATCCCAGGACCCCAGGATCATGGCCCGAGCTGAAAGCAGATGCTGAACCAACTGAGCCACCCAGGCGCCCCAAGAGACTTCTATTTCTAAATAAAACAAACTAATCACCCTCCATTCAACCTCTCCTACAACAGCTTCCACAAACCATGGACTAAATATGTAAAACTACCAGAAGACTCCAAAAAGCAGTTACAAGCTGACTAAGGGTCTCACGACTTAGGGGACAAGGTAGCTACAAGTTCCTTGGGTTTTCTTTTCGCCTCATATATATCCCTACCTGGACACTAGAGCAGCCTAAAATCCAGACCTTCCAATGGCCCAGACAGGAAAAAAAAAAAAGAAGAAAAGAAGGAGGAGGAGAAGAAGAAGAAGAGAGAAGATTCTATTCTTTAGCTGTAAGACTGGCAAATAGGAAAGGGACCATTCTGATTTTTACCCATCCCACACCGTGGTTGTCCCCAAACTGGCAGCAGTCCTTCCCCTCCTCACCAGCGGTGAGGTAGCCCCTGAAGAGCAAAGCCCTATTTCAGCCTTCTATTCTATACCAGAGAAGTGCTAATAAAGAGCAGAGCTAGGGGCGCCTGGGTGGCTCAGTCAGTTGAGTGTCCAATTCTTGGTTTCGGCTCAGGTCATGATCTTGGAGTCCTGGGACTGAGCCCTGCCCCATGTCAGGCTCTGCACTACGCACAGAGTCTGCCTCACATTCTCTCTCCCTCTACTTCCCACTCATACTCTCTCTCAAATAAATAAATAAAATCTTAAAAAGAAAAGAAGAGCAGAGCTACTCCCTCTCCCCACTGTGCAGCAGTGGTAGATTCTGCATAGCAGAACCCTAGAGCAACACTGTAGGGACTCAGCAGAATGGAGATGACAGAAGAAAGTCACTGAGCTTGAAGATGAAATGTATTCAATATAAATAAGAGAAGGAAAAAGAATGAAATGAATTGAAATTGGTCTTAGAGACCTGTAGGACAATATCAAAAGGAATAATATTCATGTCACAGATTTCTCAGAGGGAAAGAAGAAAGAGATTGGAGTAGAAAAAAATATGTAATACATACATACATACATACAAAATGGTTGAAAACTACCCAAACTTTGTGAAAAGTATAAATCCACAGATCCAAGAAGCATAGAAAAACCCAAACAGATGAACTTAAAATTATAGTCAAATACATCATAATCAAACTGCTTAAAACTGAAAGAAAAAAATCCTAAAAGCAGACAAAGAAATATAAGACATTACATTTAGGTAAAGACTCTAATGATGGAATTCAGGCCAGAACATTTTAAAATAACTAGTTATTGGTGCACCTGGGTGGCTCAGTCAGTTACGTGTCAGATTCTTGGTTTCAACTCAGGTCATGATCTCAGGGTCCTGAGACTGAGCCCCAGCAGGGCTCAGTGGGGAGTCTACTTGAGGTTCTTTCCCCCTCCCTCTGCCTCCCCCTCTGCTCCTCCCCCATCCTGCTCCTGCGTGCTCTCCCTCTTTCTAAAATAAAATAAATAAAATCTTTAAAATGACTAGTTATTGGTCCAAATGGCTTCTAAAATCTCTTCTGTGGGTTGCAAATTGAATATGGTGTTTGCATGTAATTGGATGAACAACTGTACACACACATAAAGGAGATCCTGAATAATTCACTAAAGTGTACTACCTTCTCTGAATGAGGATTAGAGAGAGAAAGGAAAGGCCTTACTATTCCCTAGGGCACTGATTCTCAAAATGTAGTCCTTATACCCCTGGGGGAGTCAAGACTTTCAGGGGACTATCATGAGGTCAAAACTTTTCATAATAATCCTTAGACATTATTTACCTGTGTTGCCATTTACTTCAACAGTGTAAAACCAATAGTGGGTAAAACTGCTGGCCTCGAAGCATGAATCTAGTACAGTACAAACTGTACTAGAAGGCATTATATTCTTTACTGCTACACACCGATAGAAAAGAAGGGAAGGAAAACAAGTTTCACTTGAAATATTTTTGATGAAGCAATAAAAATTATAATTCTATTAAATCTCAACCTCTGATTACCCTTCTTTTTAATAAATATTCTGTGTAGCAAATATTTTAATATTTATTTTTATTTTAAATATTTATTTAAAAATTTATATTTATTTATATTTATGTCTGTATCTAAAGCAATTCTGCTGTGTGCTGAAATTTTCCCGAAGAAAATGTAGTGGGCAACACTTCCCCTGCTTCTTCTACCTTTGTCCTGTTCACTTTACCTGCCCTGATCACATAACGAATCTCCTGCCTCTTCCCCTGCTTCGAATATTTGTCTTCAGAAAACCTCCATTTCTAGGTCTTCAAAAATCGTTCTTCAAAAATTCGCAATCTTGCGAAACTCCAGAAGTGTTGCTCGCAACAGTAAGATGTATGCGGTGATGCAGGCAGAAGGCTTGCCAGGGAGGTCGAGGGCCCCCTATAGAGCCAGAGGAGTCCAAATTAAAATGACGGTTCACAGGTAATCTCTGGAGAGGGGGCAGAGTCTCCCACAGCTGCCCCGCCCACAGAGGAAGATGACCCGTGGGCCCTGACAGCCCGGAACTCACGCCCCCAGCAGTCCCGAGGCCCAGGAATTAGGGCGGCGCTTCGCTGCAAGAAGAAACACAGGAAACAAACAAACCCCCCCCCTCAAACTCTCCTCCCAGGAGGCCCCACGCGCGGTGAGGAAGGCAAACGTTAGCCAATGAGAACGTCTGTTCCCGCGGCTTTCCCGCCCTTTCTCCCTGAGGCTGGAGAGAGGCGGCTCCTTTAGAGCCCACAGGGAGTTATAAGGGACTGTGGTACCTGCTCTCAAAGAGCACCCCCGCGAGGAATAGGGGGAGCGAAAAGAGACAAGTAATAGGCAAGAGGAGAGAGGAACATGCTGGCCCAGCGGACGGACGGACGGACGGACAGACGGCTGAGGAGACTCTTGCAGGTGAGGAGGAGTTGTTAATGAAAGGTCTACATGGGCAGAGAACAGGCCACAAGACATTTAGCCAGAAAGGGTGGCATCGGCAGAGCCACAGGACATCACTTCTCCTGCACATACAACAGCTATTTCTGAATAATTCGCAAAAAAATAATCCTTTCCCTTCCTGTGTCCCCCTGTGTTTCCTTCATCTTCTGACGATCTTTCCTACTATCGGCTCTCAGTGTAGATGCTGGTAGTGGCCTTGAGCATTCAGGCTCTCTTTACCTCATTCTCCTGCCCATCAGCACGTTTTTCACCAGACATGTTATTAAAAGTAACTCCCCGCCAAAACCCACAAAAACAAACCAAAAAACAACAACAAAAAGGGGCGCCTGGGCAGCTCAGTTGGTTAGGCCTCGGACTCTTAATGTCGGCCCAGATCAGGATCTCAGGGTGGTCGGATGGAGGCCCGCCTCCGGCTCAGGGCTGGGCGCCCAGCTTGGGATTCTTTCTCTACTCCCTCTGTCCCTCCACGCTCCAGCGCGCGCTCTCAATTAAAAAAAAAAAAATTGGGGCGCTTGGGTGGCTCAGTCGTTAAGCATCTGCCTTCGGCTCACATCATGATCTCAGGGTCCTGGGATGGAGCTCCGCACTGGGCTCCCTGCTCCGCAGGAAGCCTGCTTCTCCCTCTCCCCCTTCTTGTGTTCCCTCTCTGTCAAATAAATAAAATCTTTAAAAAAATATTTAACTCCGTGTGTTACTGCTAGTTTATACCTTTAAAATGTGTCAGTGATAAACATAGCAAGATATTTGTAAATAAGATACCTTCAGGAGAATGTCCGTTTTTGTTTTTATCATGGTGGGCCTTCATTCTCAAGCGTTGGCTCTGCATATCAGAATCACCTGAAGGACTTGTTAAGAAAATTGAGATCCTACCCCAGCTTTCTGATTTAGTAGGTTTAGGATGAGGCCCAAGAATTTGTACTTACTTGTTTTGTATAAGATATAACATTAGTTTCAGGTATACAACACAAAGATTGATATTTGTATATATTATGAAATGACCACCATTCTCTCTAGCTAACATTCTGTTATAAATTTTTTTTCTTGTGATCAGAACTTTTATCTACTCTTAGCAAATTTCAAAAATGCAATACAGTATTACTAACTATACTCACTATGCTATACATTACATCCCTATGACTTACAACCTTTGACCCCCTTCATTTCACTGATCCCTCTCCATCTCTGGCAACCACCAATCTGTTCTCTGTATCTATGAGTTGGGTTTTTTCTTCTGTTTTTTTTTCCCCCAGATTCCAGAAATGAGTGATACCATATTATATATATCTTTCTTTGACTTATTTCATTTAGCATCATGCCTTCAAGTTCCATCCATATTATCACAGATAGCAAGATTTCATTCTTTTTTATGGCTGAATAATATTCCCTGAATAAATATGTATGACATTTTCTTTATCCATTCTTCCATCCGTGGACACTTAGGCTGTTTCCATGTCTTGGCTATTGTAAATAATGCTGCAGTGAACATGGAGGTACAGATATCTTTTCAAGTCAGTGTTTCATTTTCTTGGGATAAATACTTGGAAGTGGAATTGCTAGACCATATGGTAGTTCTATTTTTAGTTTTTTTAGAAACCTCTATACTGTTTTTAATGGTAGCTGCACCAACTTACATTCCTACCAATGGCATAAAAGTGTTCTCTTTTCTCCACATCCTCACCAACACTTGTTATTTCTTCTTTTTGGTAATACCCATTTCTAATAGGTGTGAGGTGATAGCTCACCGTGGTTTTGATTTGCTTTTCCTCATGATTAGTAATGTTGGGCATCTTTTTCATGTACTTGTTGGTCATCTCGATGTCTTAAGATTTTGCATGTTTAATATATTCCCAGCTGATGCTGTTGCTGCTCTTCTGGGGACCACTGGCCTACCATATCTAATAGCTAAAATTTACCAAAGTTCAGGCATTGTACTAAATGAGTGATTTATTTTACATGCAATTCTTATCAAAACGGTAACATATGGGGTTAATATTTCTCTTATGGGGAGTAAATCTGGCTGAGGCCAATGACTGAGATTACTCATGCTTAGAAAAGCCTGAAATTTACAAAAACACACCTCCCACCCTCAGGCTGGAACCCAGCTTCATGTTCTTCTTTGATCCAAACAATAAGCAGGCAAAGAGAACACTATTGTGCTATGGTTAAAAATACCTTTGCTAATAAAGATAGACATACAGACCAATGGAATAATGAACCCAGAAATAAACCCTCATTTATACAGTCAAATGATTTTTGACAAGGGTGACAAGGCCATTTGATAGAAAAAGGATACTCTTTTTAACAAGTAGTGCTGGGAAAATTGGATGTCTACATGTAAAAGAAAGTTGGGCCCTTTCCTAACACCATATGCAAAAATTAACTCAAAAATGGATCAAGGACCTAAATGTAAGACCTATAACAATAAAATTCTTAGAAAAATACATAGGATAAAAGTTTCATAACATTGGACATGGTAATGATTTCTTGGATATGATGCCAAAGGCATAGGTAACGAAAGAAAAAATAGACAAATTGGTCTTCATGAAGATTTTAAAAACTTGTATATCAAAAAACACTATCCACAGAGTAAAAAGGCAACCTATAGAATGGGGGAAAATATTTGCGAATCATATATCTGGATATCCAGATAATATCCAGAATATATAGAGAACTTCTAAAACTCAACAACAAAAAAACAGCCTGATTCAAAAATGGGCAAAGGACTTGAATAGACATTTCTCCAAAACTACACAAATGACCAATAAACACATGAGATGCTTGGTATCACATCTCACACCCATTAGGCTAGCTACTATTAAAAAAAAACCCAATGTGGTGAAATTGGAATCCTTGTGCACTGTTGGTGAGAATGTAAGATTGTACAACTGCTGTGGAAAACAGTGAGATGGTCCTTGAAAAATTAAAAATAGAATTACTGTATGATCCAGCAGTTCCACTTCTGGGCATAGAGCCAAAAGAACTGAAAGCAGAGTCTCAAAGAGATATTTGTACAGCCATGTTCATAGCATTATTCACAATAGCTGAAATTTGGAAGCAATCCAAGTGTCCATTGATAGATGAGAAGATAAGTAAAATGTGGTATGTACGTACAATGAGTACTACTCAGTCTTAAACAATAAGGCAGTTCTGACATGTGCTATACTATAGATGAACCTTAAGGACATTATAAGCCATTCACAAAAAGACAAACTTTATGATTCCATTTATATGAAGTACTTAGAAAGTAGAATGTGGTGGCCAGGGCTGAGGAGAAAGGGAGAATGTTGAGTTATTGTTTAATAGGTATAGTTTCAGTTTTACAAGATGAAAAGAGTTCTGGGGATGGACAGTGGTGATGGCTGCAAAACAACATGAATAAAAGTGATACCACCCAGCTGTACGCTGAAAAATGGTTAAGATGGCATACTTTATGTTATGTGTATTTTAACCCAATTAAAAAAATTTTTAATACCTTTACTGAACTATGTTCCCTAGGAGATTAGCTTTGGGTGAATCATTTCACCTTTCCTCAACTTGGGTAGGTTGGACTACAGCAGCTAGACCATCAAGAACCCTAATTTGTTACTACTTTTCCTCGTTGGGTCCCATGCTTTGAAAGATTTTGTCTTGCAAAGTACTGTATTTGTTAAGAAACTCTTTGTTTTATATTTCTTATTAATTAAAGACATTTTTGTTTCCGATTAGCATTAGATAATCATGATTGCCATCCTGAGTTGAGATGTCAGGCAAAGGGAGAAACAAGATTTATATAGGTAGTTAGGAGATTTCTGTTAGAACATTTCAAATATTGAAAATTGTTAATTAACTCCTAGAGGTTTGGAGACCAAAGGCTTGACACACAGAAATGGTTGATTTTCAAGGTTTTTTCTCCTAATATAGATGATTCTCTGAAGGTATGGCTTCCTATAGGCTCAGTGCTGACGT